TGGGATCTGAGAAGGAAACATCCAAGATTAAGAAGTTTGATGGAACAAACTTCGGGTTCTGGAAGATGCAGATGGAAGACTACCTCTATCAGAAGGATTTATACCTACCATTGGGAGAGAAGCCGACGGATATGAAAGATGCGGATTGGAAGCTATTGGATCGAAAGGCCCTTGGAGCGATCAGGTTGACCTTGTCTAAATCAGTAGCGTTCAACATCAAGAATCAGAATACGACGGCGGATCTCATGGCGGCGTTGTCCAGTATGTATGAGCAGCCCTCTGCGGCGAATAAGGTACATCTCATTAAAAAGTTGTTTAATTTGAGGATGTCCGAGAGCCAGAAATTCAAGGAACACCTGAACGAGTTTAACGAGATCACGGATCAACTAAACTCGGTCAATATTCAGTTTGACGATGAAATCCAAGCCCTCTTGATACTTGGTCAATTGCCCGACAGTTGGAAGGGTACCGTTATCTCGATCAGCGGATCATGTGGCAAATCAAAGCTGAAGTTTTCAGAGGTGGTGGACATGATTATGACTGAGGAAATAAGAAGACAAGAGGAAGGGATTTCTAATTCAGGGTCGGCGTTGAACCTTGAGGGCAGAGGAAGAAACAGAAACAGAAATAGAGGGAATAGCCGAGGAAGATCTAACTCGAGGAACGGAAGGCCAAAGTCCAGGAACCGCAAAAACCTAGGAAAGGTCTATCTTGGTGATGATCAGCCTTGTGATATTGTTGGCAAAGGAGTCGTGCAAATCAAGCTCAATGGGTCTACATGGAAGCTGAGTGATGTGAGACATGTTCCTAGCTTGAGGAAAAATCTGATTTCCATAGGACAATTGGCGAAAGAGGGATATGTATCAACCTTCGCATGTGATACGTGGAAGGTTACAAAGGGATCCATGGTTGTTGCCCGTGGTACGAAGACTGGATCTCTCTACATGACGATAGATGCACGAGGTTCCATTGCAGTGGCTGAAGGCAGTGAAGACCCAAATTTGTGGCACCAGAGGTTAGGTCACATGAGTAGCAAAGGCCTAAAGGTTATGCAATCGAACGGGAAGTTACCAGGTTTGAGATCGGCTGATATTGACCTATGTGAAAGCTGCATTCTAGGGAAACAAAAGAGAATAAGCTTCAAAAGGGTTGGCAGAACTCCTAAAGAAGAGAAGCTTGAGTTAGTTCACACAGATGTGTGGGGTCCAGCATCAGTTCCATCCACCGGCGGAAGGTTATATTTTGTGACCTTCATAGATGATCACTCGAGGAAGACTTGGGTCTATTTCATGAAACACAAATCAGAAGTGTTTGAAGTCTTCAAGAGATGGAAGGCTATGGTTGAGAACGAGACCGGTTTGAAGATAAAGAAGCTTCGTTCTGACAACGGCGGCGAGGATGAAGACTCAGAGTTCAAGAAGGGACAGTGCCAGGTACACCCCAGCAGAATGGCGTAGCAGAACGCATGAACAGAACATTGACTGATAGAGCCAGAAGTATGCGGTTACAAGCAGGTTTTCCAAAGCAATTCTGGGCAGAAGCAGTCAACACAGCTGCCTACTTGATCAACCGGGGACCATCAGTGCCTTTGGAGCACAAAATACCTGAAGAAGTATGGAGTGGAAAGCAGGTAAACCTTTCTCACCTGAGAGTATTTGGATGTGTTTCATATGTACATCTGAGTGATCATGCTAGAAGCAAACTCGATCCTAAGTCCTTATGAGTTTGGCTACAAATTTTGGGATGAGCAGAACAAGAAAATCATCAGAAGCAGGGATGTGGTCTTTAACGAATCAGTCCTCTACAAAGACCGTGATGCAGTTCAGCCCACTAGCTCGATGCAGAGTGATCCTACATATTTCGAGTCAGATGATGCCTCAGGTGGAGGCAATCCCGAAGCTAGTTCTGATGAAGAAGAAGAGATGATGGATGAGACCACTTCAGAAGGGGCGGATGAAGATGAAGAGCCTGTTTCGCCCGTTAGAGAGTTGAGGCGGTCAGCTAGAGTTCCCAAGCTTAATCCGAAGTACCCATCACTACAGCCCAGAGCTCATCTCAACTACCTATTGTTGAGTGACGGTGGAGAGCCAGAAAGTTATGATGAAGCCCTTCGAGTGGATGATGCGAGCAAGTGGGAGCTCGCCATGAAAGACGAAATAAAATCCTTGGACACCAACAAGACATGGGAACCCAGAAAGTTATGATGAGGCTCTTCGAGTGGATGATGCGAGCAAGTGTGAGCTCGCCATGAAAGATGAAATAAAATCCTTGGACACCAACAATACATGGGAACTTGCGAAGCTACCAACGGGGGAAAAGGCCTTGAGCAATAAATGGGTGTACAGAATCAAAGAGGAACATGATGGTTCCAAGAGATACAAGGCCAGATTGGTGGTTAAAGTATTTCAGCAGAGAGAAGAAGTTGATTACACAGAGATCTTCTCTCCAGTAGTCAAACTAACTACCATCAGAACAGTCCTGAGTATTGTTACAGCTGAAGATCTACATCTCGAGCAGCTAGATGTAAAGACAGCTTTCCTCCACGGTGATCTAGAGGAAGAGATATATATGCAGCAGCCAGAGGGGTTTACTCAGAAGGGAAAAGAGAAGATGGTATGCAGATTGAAGAAGAGCTTGTACGGCCTAAAACAAGCTCCAAGGCAATGGTACAAAAAGTTCGATGGATTCATGCACAGGAACGGTTATTCCAGGTGCAATGCTGATCATTGCTGTTTTGTCAAAGAGTTTGACAAGAGTTACATCATCCTGCTCCTATATGTCGACGACATGCTTGTGGCCGGCTCAGACATGAGAGAGATCAAGAAGCTGAAGAAGCAGCTATCGAGTGAGTTTGACATGAAGGACCTAGGCACAGTGAAGCAGATATTGGGGATGAAGATCAGTAGAGATAAACTCTTGGGCACGTTGCGGCTATCTCAGGCCGAATACATTAGACGGGTGCTTGAGAGATTCGGGATGAGTGGTGCTAAGGCCGTTAGCACACCATTAGCCAGTCACTTCAAACTGACTAAGGAGCAGTGTCCTAAGACTGATGAAGAGAAAGAATATATGGCTAAGGTTCCTTATGCTTCAGCCATCGGAAGCCTTATGTACGCCATGGTATGCACGAGACCTGACATTGCCCATGCAGTGGGAGCTGTGAGCAGATTTATGTCAGATCCAGGAGAGCAGCACTGAGAAGCAGTAAAGTGGATTCTGAGATACCTGCGAGGTACTATAGATGATTGTCTATGCTTCAGAAGAGGCAAGTTAGTCCTGCAGGGTTTTGTTGATGCAGACTATGCTGGTGAGATAGACCAGAGAAGAAGCACTACAGGATACGTATTCACTTTGGGCTCTACAGCCATTAGTTGGATTTCTCAGTTGCAGAAGATCGTTGCTTTATCAACGACAGAGGCTGAATATGTTGTTGTGACAGAGGCAAGCAAGGAGATGATATGGTTGCAGGGTTTCTTGTAGGAGCTGGGACAGAAGAATGAGAAAAGTGTCCTACATTGTGATAGCCAGAGCGCAATTCATTTGGCAAAGAATCCCGCTTTTCATGCAAGGACCAAACACATACAGGTCCGCTACCACTTCATAAGATCAGCATTGGACGAGGACATGTTGGAACTTGTGAAGATTCAAGGAAGCAAGAACCCAGCTGATATGCTTACCAAGGTTGTCACTACAGAGAAACTGAAGTTGTGTTTAACTTCAGTTGGCCTCAGCACTTGATGATACGGAGGCCGTCGCCGCAGAGAGAGCTGAAAGAAATTGATAGTTAGTCTCCAAGTGGGAGATTGTTAGGATATGTGAAGCCTAATTATCAAGCATACCCTATACTTCAGAAGAGAGGAGGAACAAAGTTGAACAGGAGGAACAAGATCGACGATGGAGAAGTTCAAGCAAAATGACGAAGGAGAGATTTGGCAGCTTTGCGGTCGACCGGCCATGACGCGGCGGTCGACCGTCTACGTGCACAGCTGGGTGCACAGGCCAGGAGCTCGTCGCCGGTCGACCGCTCAAAGTCCAGAGAGCAGTCCAGAGTTTTGTCTTCGTCGCGGTCGACCGCACATGGCGCTGCGGTCGACCGCCCAAAGTCCAGAGAGCTCGATCAGGAATAGGATTCGTCGCGGTCGACCGCACGTGGTGCTGCGGTCGACCGGAGTCGGGTTTTGGCCCAGATTCGTTTTTTAACCTGATTTGATCTGTTTCCTTGTTTACTTGTTAAACCCTTAAGTCTATAAAAGGGTTGATTAGGGCATGATGTAAAGAGACGAAAATTAGTGAATTTTTCTCCTGCGGCGGCCGTGGACGTAGTTTCTCACATTAAGAAGCGAACCACGTAAATCTTGTGTGTTTGAGATTGTTTGATTTTCTCTCTTCTCTCCTAAATCTCTATTTCCAAATCGCATCAGGGGGGTTGTGCATCCCCAACAGGTAGCTTTCCATCTTAGCTTTCTGGGTGATTTCAAGCGAAACAGACAGAAAATCAAAATTTTCGACAAAAAATATATATGGAAAATCGATTTAATTACCATTGATATTTTAGGAAACCAACCAAATAGGTCCCGAATTAACCTGTTTCCTGTTCAGAGCCTACATCCGATCCCTCCTTCCATTAACACGGACTCAGCTCCCCCTCACATACTCCATAAGAACAATTTTTCAAAATAAGATTTAGTTTTTTATTTTTCAAAATTGACCGTTTTTTTTATTTATTAAAATCGACCCGGCTTTGTGATTAGCAGGCTAATCACTATCCTAAATAGTCGGGGTTGCCAACCCCGACTAATTAGGACATTAATTTTTAGGGTTTAAGGCATTTAATTAGGATTTAATACCCTCCTAAATAGTCGGGGTTGGCAATCCCGACTATTTAGGATAGTGATTAACCTACTAATCATAAAACCGGGTCGATTTTGATAAAAAAAACGGTCGATTTTGAAAAATAAAAAACTAAATCGGCCTATTTTGAAAAATTGTTCTTTTCATCACCGCCGCCCTTCCGCCTCTCCGGCCATCCGCGCCTCCTCCTCCGCCATCGCCGCCCCCAAACGGGAAACAGATCCCAAGAAGCGAGTCGTGATCACCGGGATGGGGCTCGTCTCGGTGTTCGGCAACGACGTCGACCGCTACTACGAGAAGCTTCTCGAAGGAGAGAGCGGGATCGGGCCCATCGATCGGTTCGACGCCTCGAAGTTTCCGACGAGATTCGCCGGTCAGATCCGAGGGTTCAGCTCGGAGGGGTACATTGACGGGAAGAACGACCGGAGGTTGGACGATTGTTTGAGGTACGGTCTTGTTAGTGGGAAGAAGGCGCTCGAGAGCGCTGGGATTGGGGTTGGCAGCGAGGAGTTCGAAAAGGCAAGTGTTTGGTTATTAATTAGACCTATTTAATTTGCTCTTGCATGCAACAAGTAAATCGGTTGAAATGTGCCTACTGTCACTTCGACCGTTGCAATTGTTGTCCCAAGGCCACGCGTCCTATCCTGGTCACTTTGCTCAACCTGGTGTATGCTCATCAGTTCGCGCACGCTCCTCGCGCTGTTCGCCCAGTCAGCTAGGGATGAGCCCCTGGTATTAAGGGTAGCTCCTTGCAGAGGTGGGATGGACGTGGGATTCGAATCAGGGTCGTTGGCGGACTTCAAAGGAGTTAAAGTTGAGCGGACTGACCAGGTTTCCTTGTCATAAAAAAACAATAAGGACAAGTCGTGGATATATCTAAATCCGGATTTGATAGGATGCATATGTTAAATTTATAGATATGGATTTTGATAATATTTTCTTGGCTATGCTATAGTATATATACAAATATGAGTGTGGTAACGGATATAAATAAAATATTTGAATTCATAAGTTGATCTATGTCTCCATCAATAGGAACATGGAGGACAGGTGAGGTGTCTTCCTCCTATTGCATAATGAGCTGGTCATCATTAATGATGACCAACTCATTATGTAATAGGAGGGGAACAGTTCACCTGTCCCTCCCCTGTTGATCTCATATTTTGGGTCTTTGAAAAAATTTTCTATTGTTATTATTATTTTAATGTTTTACATAATATTGTTTGTAAAGTTTTTTTTTTGTTAGAATTTTGAAGTATTTTTATTGTGGTTTGCGGCCATTTTTCATATAGGTAACGCTTTATAGTTGAGAAGGGTTTTACAACTGTGGCTGCAACTCAAGAATGAGCACGTGGTAACGAAACAAAAAGTTGCAACCTTCCATTCTATTAACCAACCTTTTAATTTGGATGCAAGATTTGGGTATAATTTTTATATTTACTGAAAGTATTGGGGAAGGGAGTAAATTAAATTGCGACTGGTTTTTGCTAGATCCACTGCAAGGCAACATTTCTTTACAAGGAACGAGGAGTTGTGGTTAATGTAGCTTTCATCATAATTAATAGGGTAACTTGTTCTTAAACTCAATATTTAAGCCTCATTTTTTAAGGGTTCTTCCGTAGTCCCAGAACCTTTCATATTCCAAATTAGTCCCTCAAAATCTTCATATTTTAAATTTATTCTTTTCATATCGTGCCAGTTGTTTTAAAATTAGTTCCTCTATTATATTTATCATTCAAATTGTTAATTATGATTGGTTCAATTGTTGACCGGGGACAAGTAGTTGCCAAACTAACCAAAATCAACACCAAAATCCACCAAAAGCGGGTTGAAAATCAATGGGCTCAAGCTTGATATTGCAAAATATTAAACTAATTTGTGTTGTAATGAAGTTTTTTGGTTTTGAGTTTGAATTCATAAGGTGTAGAACTAATATTTGCTCTCCTTACGGCCAGTTTTGTCGGCGCCGCCGGGGGCCCCACCGTTGAACCTTGAAACATAGTGATAATTGCTTGTTGTTGGAATATATGAACCATATGTAATGATCAGGGACTTTAAAAGATGATATTAGCGTAATACAAGTTTAAGTCCTACCGGCTATGAATTTAAACCGTCTTTTCCGAAAATTGAGGCGAAGTTCTGGTGTAATGATTTGGGGGTAAGACTTGTGCTTTATAGGTTACATGTTGCCAAGTGTTTAATTTGTTGCTTTTGAGTTTCAAATTTTTCTTTTGTTTAATAATTAACTTTTTGCACTCTTTGCTGTATACTTCTGGAAACAATGAACTCCTCGAAAAATTCAGCTGAGGAGTGCGTTGATGCATCATATTAGACCGGTGATGCTTATTCAGTGTTGGGAAGCAATGCCCAGCTGACTATGAGAAAGTTGTTAATTCTGTGAGATATAATCTTTTTATTTATTTATTTATTATTTTTTTCCTAACGTCCAAAACCATTGCTTCATTTATGATTTCCTCTCGAATCTTTTTTTTTTTTGGATCCATATTCATGTGAAGCGAACTTTGTCTTTTGCAGATTGACAAAACCCGTGCCGGTGTTCTAGTAGGGACTGGCATCGGTGGGCTTTCCGCGTTCTCTGATGCGGTCCAAGCTCTTGTAGAGAAAGGCCATAGGCGAATCTCTCCCTTCTTCATCCCATATTCCATAACAAACATGAGTTCTGCTTTGCTTGCCATGGATATTGGATTCATGGGTGTAAATTACTCGATCTCAACTGCGTGTGCTACCGCCAACTATTGCTTCTTTTCTGCCGCAAACCATATTCGTAGAGGCGAGGTTGATATAATTGTTGCTGGCGGCACTGAAGCTGGCGTTGTTCCCGCTGGAATTGGGGGTCTCTCTGCCTGCAGAGCTCTGTCGCAGAGGAATGATGACCCCAAAACCGCGTCAAGGCCGTGGGATAAGGATCGAGATGGTTTTGTTATAGGAGAGGGTGCTGGAGTGTTGGTACGGCTTCCTGCCTTTTTTTTAACCTTGTTTTTCCATATTTGTAAGGGTTAATGCAAATAGATTCCGTGAACTATCGCCCAGTTGCGGGTGGACCCCTAGAGTTCTATTGTTGCAGATAAACCCTTGAGTGAATTTATTTTTGACTCTTTATACTCTCGGAGAAGGAGAAATTTATTTTCGATCAACAGACCTCTCGAGGGCAAAAAGAGTCAATAAAATTCACTAAGGGATCTATATGCAACAATAGAACTACAGGGTGCGTCTATCCGTAATTAACCCTATTTTTAAACTGGTTGGGTTCATGAAATCTGTATTTTTTTGGTTACCTTGAATTTGTTGTATAGTTAGTGATGCTTAAGCTGAAATCCGTAGTTGATCGAGCCCATCCATTTTTTACCCAACCTGTCTATGATTGGCAACATTTCTAACTTTGAAAGTGTATCTCTTAGATCAAGCCTAAGGATGTCTTTCTGTCGTTAATATGTTATAAATTTGCTAGAATTTCTTTTAGGATCTTGTCATAGAGGCAATTGCCACTTGTAGAGCACGTTACCAAATTTGCCTGTTCTCTGATGTTAAAGCTGCATTTGAGCACCTCAAGCTGCAAGTTGATTAACCAGATATTCTCCAAGGTACTGTTTGGCAAAGGGTTAAGTGAATAGTTAAGGAGACTTAACCCTTTCTTCTTAACCTGCCAAACACAACAAATCTATATAAGAGTTAAAGTGGGTTAACCCTCTATAATTTACCAAACATAAAAAATATAGAAGGGTTAAGTTAACCCCTCTAGAGGGGTTAAAATGAGTTAACCCCTCAAAATAAGGGGTTTACTAATACTCCTATTTAGAGCATCTCCAACAGCTTCCCCAAAATTTTCTCCAAAATGGAGAAACAAAAGTCATATTCTCCAAATTATTTTTGCTTCAACTCCAACAGCTTTCTCATTTTGAAAAATCGCATTTATTACAATAATAAAGCTCTCCCCAAAAATTTGGAGAATGCTGCAGATTTGGGGAAGGCTCCCTATTTTTTCTCCTTCTTCCCTATTTTGGGGAATGAGATGGAGAATCTGTTGGACAAAAAAAAAGCTCTATATTCTCCAAATTTGAGTATTTCAAGAAGATGAGGAAGCTGTTGGAGATGCTCTTAGATGAAATAAGAGTTAACTCTTCTAATTATAAAGAAAATAGTCAAAATCATTGTTATTCCCAAACACTAAAACTGATCATAAGGGCTAAAATAAAACTTATTTAACGGGTTAATAATTTAGTCCTTCGGATTATCAAATGGGCTAAGTACATTAATCCTTCTCTTTAACCCCTCTTCATTAACCCTTTGCCAAACGGGGCCCAAGCGATTTTCCATAAATTACACTTTAGTCCACTCTTATTTATTTGTTATGCCGTTGTTTATGTCGTACTTTTGTGTGCTTGTTCTTGCAAAGGTTATGGAGAGCCTGGAACATGCAATGAAACGCAATGCGCCAATTATTGCCGAGTACTTGGGAGGTGCTGTGAATTGTGATGCCTACCTTATGACGGATCCCAGAGCTGACGGGCTCGGAGTTTCAAATTGTATCAGGAGAAGTCTTGAAGGTGCAGGGGTAGCCCCAGAAGAGGTAGGTAATTGGATGGTTTAGCTATTTCTTTTTCGTTCTCCATTCACTCAACCAACTTCTTCATTTTTGTGTTTTCATTTTGGTAAATTTCATTAACCCCAATTAGTTTAATTTGGCCTTCGGCACTTGAAGCCCAAATTATTGGAACTCTCATTAAGCACCCAATAAGTTCGGAAATTCCAGAGAACTACCTAACATTTTGATTTTCACTTAACCCCTATATTAGCATAAGCTCATGTTTTTAAAACTTTTTGGGGGTTAAATGCCAAAGGCCCCAACTTACCGGGGATTTAGTAAAATCTACCCTTTTATTTTCACAATCCGAGCCATTTGTTTCAGTTGCTTATTATATCCATCCTATATATATATTTAAGAGTACCCTTTTATTTTGTTTGTCAGATTTATAGAAATTCTAGAAATGCCCTCACACTTTTGGGGTGTTGATAATAGTGTATTATAGTGGGTTTTAGTCCCACATTAATTGGTTGTGAGAACACACCTCAACCTCCTCTACTTGTATAAATATATGTGTACACTCAATATTCAATTTAAGGGAAATTTACCCAAGATTCTCTCTCTCTCTCTTACTTTAACATGGTATCAGAGCTAGAGTTATTATTTCCCTTCCAATAAATTTTTTTTTAACGCTCTTGCGTTCTTTAGCCAAATCTTGGCATTGCTGCTTTGCAGTCGTTTAACGCTTTTTTTTTTCTTTTGCGTTCCTCTGCCAGATTTTTGGCATTGCCGCTTTGTGGCTTCTTAACGCATTTCGCGTTCTCGTTTAACATTCGGGTTCCATTTTAATCTTCGGAGTTATATTTTAAACCTTCGGGTTTTATTCTAACATTCGGGTTCTATTTTTAAACCTTCGGGTTCTATTTTTAAACCTTCGAGTTCTATTTTTAACGGCACTGCCGTTTCAAGATCATCTCTTGATCTCAAATTTATGGCTTAGCCGTTTTTTTTCAAGACCGTCTCTCGATCTCAATTTAACGGTATTGTTGTTTCAAGCCGTCTCTCGGTCTCAAACAAACGGCATCGTCGTCTCAATCCATCTCGGCGTCTCAACATCTCAACATTGGCATTAATCCGTTGTAGGTCTCCCGCGTGAGCATCAGATCCGACCGATCTTCGGGCCACCTTGGTCGTCGATTTCGCTCAAGGATTATTATCTTGAACTTTGAATTGCTGCTATTATGGTCTCTTCACTGGCACTTGCTTCTCAAGCTCGGTCTAAGTTCTTTTGCACCTATTGCAAGAAGAAGGGACACCGCTTTGAGACATGTTTTCAGCTTCATCCTGAGTTATGTTCCTCAGGATCTGGCCGTAGTAAGCGATCCCCTCAGTCTCAATGCTCCAGTGCACTAGAATTACCGGTTAATGTTATGATATCTACCACTTTAGACCTTACCATTCAAGCTATTGCATATATTAGCCATCAAATTACGGATCTTCAGCATACTACCTCTCCATCTGCTGTAAAACTCTCTGAAATTCACCGTCAAATTAAGGTTCTTTAAGCTATTGCAAATATTAGCCGTCAAATTGCAGCTCTTCAGCATACCACCTCTCCATCTGCTGCACAACTCTCTGATATTCGCCGTCAAATTGCGGTTCTTCAGCATACCACCTCTCCATCTGATGCATAACTCTCTGATATTCGCCATCAAATTAATTCTCTTCAGCATAGAGCATCTACATCTACTGCACAACTCTCTGGTATGCGTCTTGGTGGTTCTTCACCCAACCCTTCCGTCTCAGGTATGAATGATCTCTGGATTTTTGACTCTGACTTTTCCTTTCATATGACTCGTTATGCTTCCCTCTTATCTTCTGTCTTCACTTCCTCTTCTCTTCCCCATATCTACACGGATGCTGGACAACCTTTGTTTATCACTCAGTATGGCTCTATTACCCTACAAACTGGCCCATCTGGTCATCTAACTCTTGGCCTTGTCTATGTGGCTCCTCAGTTGTGTTTGAATTTAATTTCTGTTAACTCCTTATGTATGGATGGCCTACTTGTCTTATTTTCTTCTAATGGTTGTATTGTGCAGGATCCACAGACGGGCAAGACTGTTGGGGCCGGTCGGAGGATACACAAACTGTATTTTCTGGAATATCTTCACCTTCCAGAGTCCATACGTCCACGTTCTCTTGTTACTTCTGTAAGTCTAAAATCCTCTACCTTGCTTCCTGCAGATTTGTGGCATAGACGACTTGATCATGTGTCTCATAAAAGGCTGAAAAGTCTTATCCAGTCCGGAGTACTTGGTCTCGTATCCTCTCGTTCTCATATTGAGTCATTTCCAACCAGTACATCTGTTTCCACTTCCTTATTTGATTTGGTTCATTCTGATACCTGGGGGCCAACACCTCCACCTTCTTCATCTGGCTACTTATATTATGTTAGTTTTATTGATGATTTCTCTCGTTATACATGGGTTTACCTACTTAAAAATCGATTTGATGTACTTGCTGCTTATCAAGCCTTCACTGCGATGATCTTCACTCAATGGCAAACTCATATTAAAGTTTTTCGTTCTGACTGTGCCAAAGAGTACCTATCCTCTACCATGCGCTCTATCATGTTCTCTCATGTGACTATCTTTTAACAGTCGTGCCCCTACACTCATGAGCAAAATGGTATTGCAGAACGCAAACATCGTCATATTCTCGATACAGCTCGATCCATGCTCATTTCTTACTCTGTTCCTCATCGTTTCTGGGCTGAGGCCATTCTCACTGCTACTCATGCCATTAATATCACTCCATCTACCTCTCTTTTGGTGCTACTCCTCATAGTCGTGTTTATAATCATCCTCCCCATTATGATCCGGTCCGCGTTTTCGGTTGTCGATGTTTTGTTCTTTTGCCATCTCACGAACGTGATAAATTATCTCCCAGAGTTGTTCTCTGTGTCTATTTAGGAATTAGTTCGAAGCATCGAGGTTATCGTTGTTATGATCCCGCATCTCGTCGAGTTCATATATCTCGACATGTTCAATTCGAAGAGGATTCTCCATTTTATTCTGCTTCCGATGATTTCAATTTTCTCCACACTACTGATCGTTCTTCTCCTCCAACTACATCACCCACTTCCTTACCTCAGTTCTCCTTTCGAGATCTCCCTAAAATCTCTCTATCTCCTTCTGTTGAATCTCCCTCACCCGAGTCTTCTCTTCCACCATCTGATCCCTATCCCGTAAACACGATACCCACTCCAGAAAATATTGTTGACCTCCATGCACCTGCGCCAGCATCTCCCCCGCCTGAGGTTCCTCTTGCTCTTCGTCGAGGCAAACGCCCACATATCATGCATGTACGGTATGCTTCGGTTACGTCCTATTCATCTATCTTTCATAATTTTCTTGCTACCATTCATACTACAATTGAGCCAAAGTCCTTTCAAGAGGCCGTTCAATTTTCAGAGTGGTGACAGGCTATGGTTGAGGAATTTTAGGCCTTTCAGCAAACACATACCTGGGATGTTGTTCCATATCCCCCTGACATCTCTTTAGTTGGCAGTAAATGGGTTCATAAGGTCAAGTATCGTCCTGATGGCAGCATTGAACGTCGGAAAGCTTATTTAGTGGCTCGAGATTTTACTCAGCAACAATGTATTGATTATGAGGAGACCTTTGCTCCTGTTGCTCAGATGCTCACCGTTCGTACTTTTCTTGCGGTCGCTACTGCTCATCGTTGGCCCTTATACCAGATGGATATTAAAAATACTTTTCTCCATGGCTCTTTATCTGAGACAATATATATGTAACCGCCTCCAAGGTCTAATATTCCTACGGAACATGTATGTCTCCTTCGCCGTGCTATTTATGGTCTCAAGCAGGCACCATGCGCTTGGTTTGAGTGTTTTCGTGATGTCGTGCTCAATGCGGGCTTTATGGAAAGTCATCAAGATGCTTCTCTGTTTGTTCGAACTACATCACATGGCAGAGTTTTATTACTTATCTATGTAGATGATATGATCATTACAAGTGACAATGTGGCTGGTATACAGTACACAAAATCTCAGTTGCAACAACAATTCTACATGAAGGATCTTGGATCTCTTCGATATTTTCTTGGTCTAAAAATTTCTCAAGGCCCGCAGGGTGTACTACTGTCTCAACAGAAGTATCTCTCGGATATTCTAGATCGAGCTGAGCTAACTGACGATGCAACTGTCGATACTCCACTCCAACAGAATATCAAACTTCGCTCTACTGATGGTGAGCCTCTACCTGATCCTACTCGATATCGACATCTTGTTGGTCAGTTGGTCTATCTGTGCATCTCTCGACCAGATATCTCTCATGCTGTTGGCATTATCAGTCAATTTGTTAGTGCCCCATGTTCTGTACACTATGCTACTTTATTACAGATTTTTCGGTATCTCCGGGGTACTAGCACTCACTCTCTTCTATTTCCTGCTACATCCAAGTTAGAGCTTTGTGCATATTCTGATGCTGATTGGGCTGGTGATCCTACTACCATAAAGTCTATCACAGGTTATTGTATATTTCTTGGTGATTCCCTAATTTCTTGGCGGAGTAAGAAACAAGATGTTGTTGCTCTTTCCAGCACCGAGGCAGAGTATCGTGCAATGTCCACAACAGCTAAAGAGATTATTCATCTTCATTGTCTTCTCAGTGATTTCAGTATTTCTGTTACGACTCCTATTTCTCTCTACTGTGATAATAAGAGTGACATCCAGATTACTAATAATCCAGTATTTTATGAGAGGACCAAACATATTGAGATTGACGCTCATTTTGTCCGTCAACAAGTTATCAAGGACAAGACACTTCTACTTCCTCATGTCTCATCCGCTGACGAGCTTGCAGATTTCTTCACAAAGGCCTTACCTGTTTATTGGTTCCAGTTTCTTGTACGTAAACTCACTTTGTTTGATCCAACATGAGTTTGAGGGGGGCTGTTGATAATAGTGTATTGTAGTGGGTTTAACTCACTTTGTTTGATCCAACATGAGTTTGAGGGGGGCTGTTGATAATAGTGTATTGTAGTGGGTTTTAGTCCCACATTGGTTGTGAGAACAGAGGGGGGCTGTTGATAATAGTGTATTGTAGTGGGTTTTAGTCCCACATTGGTTGTGAGAACACACCTCAACCTCCTCTACTTTTATAAATATATGTGTACACTCAATATTTAATTTAAGGGAAATTTACCCAAGATCCTCTCTCTCTTACTTTAACATGGGGGAAAAATCAACGCAGGTATCCTCGTAGTTGGGAAAAAAATCTTAACAAACCATTCATTCCCTTCACAAATTGACTGCAAACCCCTCCTAGTTCTTCTCTGTCATGTTGTACACGGGAATACTAGTTTCTTATTAGAGTTTTTTTTGGTGAAGGATTGGACGTCGATGACATGTTCATCATTGGATTGTATTTCACCAATTTATCTTCCTGTTTCCAATATGATAATTGAATTACTAAGCTAAATATAATTAACAAAAGAATGACTTCCTATATTCCCCTCACCCCATGGCATGTTGAAAGGCCAAGTTATGAGCCGATAGCATTGTCGTTCTAATATTGGAGCATCCTAATTTCAGTTATTCTTCACTCACAAAGTGACTATTAATATGCCACCTATAATCTTATTAAATTTTTTTTTTGAGGAATCTAATCTTATCACATTAACAGGGAGGAATTCTCTTTTATGTTGCAAACTGCCTCTATATATTAAAGCCTAGTTTCTCTGTACCGAACCTGAGGAGTCGCAGTTATGATTATAATAAACCTGCTAGATTTAATATTAAGAGATGTTCATAGAATCATAGCTCGATCTTTGACATTTGTATTCAGGTCAACTACATAAATGCTCATGCAACTTCCACCCCTGTTGGTGACCTTGCTGAGGTGAATGCTATAAAGCAAGTGTTCAAGAATCCAAAGGAGATCAAGATGAATGCAACCAAGGTGAAACTTTGCCTCACCTTTTTTAGCTTTTGATGCTTCTTTTAATCCTCCTTTTGTATATTGCTTCTTGTTTTACAAACAATCATGGAACTAATTTTGAAAGTTTTTCCTTTGTGTTTTCTTCAGTCTATGATAGGCCATTGTCTTGGTGCTGCTGGAGGGCTGGAAGCCATTGCTACAGTTAAAGCCATAACTACTGGATGGCTACATCCAACCATAAACCAATTTGTAAGTAGACAGTGCTTTTTGATTATGTAATTGGGTATATGGACCATGTTCCATAGGCTAGTTAGTTACTAGCGTGTTCCGTAGGGGCTAGTGTTGGAATATTCATGCGTGAGTATAGTCCTGCATTGGAAAGGATACAAAAGATTGATAGGTTTAAATAGAAGTTGAGATCAATGCCTATATCTATAGTTAAGGCTCATTAACTTCTGGTTGGGTCTGATTTCTCTCCAACAGCTGTAGTTCAGTTGCATGAAAGTAAGTTTCTTTCTTTTTTTTTTCTTTTTTTTTAAAACTCTTCTTCTTAACTAATCGCTAAAGAATCTCTTTAACTTATTCATTGTTTTAAAACTCGGGCAGTTTTTTTACTAGTTAATTCACCATAGTAAAGAAGCATGTCCTGTCTTACAGTAATTTAAAAAAAAAATCTTGGTGGTTTCACTGGATCATGCATTTTGGTCTATAGCTTTGCATGCTTTTGGTCTATAGCTTTTCATTTTTGAAACTCGCTAATGAAATAATATTCTTCTCTTTTGCTTGCTGTATCTCATTTACTGCAGAATCCAGAGCCTTCGGTTGATTTTGATACAGTAGCAAATATAAAGCAGCAACATGAAGTGAATGTTGGTTTGTTCTAATCTACATCGACCACAATTTATCAAATTTGCATATATGAGTGAATGATCTCAAACCTTCTTGCTTTCCCTTTGCAGCAATTTCTAACTCCTTTGGATTTGGCGGGCACAACGCTGTGGTGGTGTTTGCTCCTTTTAAGCCATGATCTATATCTAGTTAATTCACTGTTTCCCCATTTTGAAAGGCTTTGACTTTCTCTCGATATTTGAGGTTATTCATCAAAACTGGCAGGAAACGGGCATGATTCTTTTAGCTAGGCTGCTTTCAGGTTGTTAGCGTGGAGGTTCATTGTGAAGATGCTGTAGGCCGCTGTCAGTTTGTTGTTAGTGTGGAAGTCCATAACGGGGGGCTAGGACCCTGTAAACTCGTGAACAAAATTGGGAGTTTCTCTCTCAAAGACATTTTAATTATTCAACATTTACATGTAAGGTGTTCAGTAAGAAAATGTTAAAAGTTAATGCAATATTTGTGAGACTTTCCAAAGACTGGGAGTGTTTTGTTAAAATATATGAGTTCAGGATGGTTATGTGCACCCTACATTCTATTTCATCCAATGGTCAAGATTGAAAATGGCAGAATTGAAAATAAATACACATCAGCTGACAAAATACCAGTAAAAGGGGTAATTTAGGAAAGAGTCATTAATGAAACAAGTTGTAATTAATTAGCAAAAGCTGTCAAACACTTCTTTTCACGAAAAAGTCGATTCAGTTTCACTCTATATTGAATCCAGCTTCATCTTCTCTCTACCCGAACAACTAAACTCTTCACATTTCGTCGATTTGTCAACACTTAGGTTTCTTTCAACATCTTATTACAACTCGAACGAAGACGAACAGCAAGCCTTCGACGATCGAGATGAAGAAAAACAACTCAGAGACTCCAAAACCCTCATCTTCAAGAAGGGGTAAAACGATTCCAACCCTCGTATTAAAAATGTATATTTTTATCAAAGTTTGAACATTTTTCATAGATCCAGTGAGGAAAGTTTCGAAATTTAGACATGAATCACTTGCATGTTGTTGAATACTTTTTTATTTTATTTTTTTAGCTTTATAAAATGTTATCGATGCATGTTCTACTTTAGGGTTTTTATTTTTTACATTTTCCTTGATCTTGTTAGAATAAGTTAAGTTTTTTTTAATATTGTAAGATGTTTTCATTTGTTCTAAATGGGTAGCGATTAATTTTGGTTGTCTGGATTTTGCAATATGCACTGTAGTTGAATCTCCTCGATTCACTTGAGTGAATCGAGATTCACTGTGGTGAATTGAGATTCACTAGAATGAATCGCGATTCATTGGATGAATCTCTTGTTGCGCGCAGCGGAAATTTCGGCAGCACTTCGGCAGCACAACAAGAGAGTCAGGTCGCAATAAGAATTCTTGTTTCTCAAAGGGAACAAGAATCTGAAGCCTAATATCCCATCAAAGTGGGATATTTGCTCTTCCTCTCGTCAGCTCTAGGACTGCGCGTCGAGGGACCCTAAAAGCTATTACAAATCACACAAAAGCAGTACAACCAATTTTAACGTGGTTCGGCAAATTGCCTACGTCCACGGGACAAGGAGGGGGGAGATCTACTAATAGAGGGAGAGAATACAAATAGGGTTTACACAAGAATCCAACAAATAAAACCCTCACACAAAACTCTCAGACCCGGCCATTTGGGTGAACTACGTTCGGCTTGATTCCTTGGGCAAGAGGATACGTAGGCAGTCTTTACGATACAGCCGGTTTGGATTAGTTGATTTTGATGGGGGTGAGATTGTTTGGACTCTCGTTTTGGTTCTCGACTTGTTGTGGATTGAGTCCGTACTGGACACAACAAGTGGGATATTTGGTTGCTTGGTGTCGGCTCAGTTTTTGGAAAAACTTCACCGAGGTGGAGAATTGTGAGTGGTAGGCGGGCCCACCCGTTTCACGTGTGAGGAGCAGATGAAGCGAAAAACAAAGGCCCACCCGATATTTGTGATATAAATAACAACATGTGATCTCCTTGGTTACTGTGCGCAAGGGGGTTGTTTTCTTTGGGCGGCTGCGGAACAGAAGCAGCGCAAGGAGAGAAATTTTTCTGGCTTTGGTTGTTTTTTTCGGCAGAAGAAATTCAAAGCAGGAGAAAATAGAAGAGGAGTGTGCGGCTGTGCAAAAGAAAAAGGCAGAGGCCTATTTTTGGGTTTTGTGCATCCTTTTGAGAGAGTTTTGTATGATGGATTTGAGAGTTTGTTTGAGGGTTTAGATTGAGTGATTGTAAACCCTAGTTGTATCTCTCTCTCTATTAGTAGATCTCCCCCTCCTTGCCCCGTGGACGTAGGCAATTTGCCGAACCACGTAAAAATTGGTTGTACTGCTATTTGTGCGATTTGTAATAGCTTTTAGGTTCCCTCGACGCGCAGTCTTAGAGCTGACGAGAGGAAGAGCAAATATCCCACTTTGATGGGATATTAGGCTTCAGATTCTTGTTCCCTTTGAGAAACAAGAATTCTTATTGTGACCTGACTTTCTTGTTGCGCTGCCGAAGTGCTGCCGAAATTTTCGCTGCACGCAACAAGTGGTATCAGAGCCCAGATTTCAGATCTAGGATTTTTTGGTGGAGGAAGATTCTTGTGTGATTTGTGTGAAGCTTGGTTCTTGGAGTTCTAGGCTTCGGTGGAGATAGCATTAGGAGTTGTCGTTGGAGATTTCGCTTTCCTCGTGTGGTTAGGAAATCTATTTGGAATCCGATCTAGGGTTCAGTTGGGTGGTTCCTAATTTCTATCAAATTTGTTCTTTCTCTATAATTTGGAGTTAGTTTGCAATGGGAGAAGAAGGTGAAAGCAGCAAATCGATGGCGGCTACAATACAAGTTGGTTTTCAGAACACCAAAATTAGTGTGGTGAAATATGACGGAAAAATCAACTTTGGTTTGTGGATGAGCGACGTACAAGATGCGCTCAATGCTTAGAATTTGGAAGAGACCATCATGGTCCACGATAGGCCACCTAAATATGATGAGGCGTTATGGGAGAAGATGAATAGAAACGCTTGTGGGGTGATCAGGTCCTGTTTGGAACAGGAGCTGAACTATGATGTGATTGGGGTGACGTCTGCAATGAAGATGTGGGAAATTCTCAACAATAAGTATCTCACAAAGAGTGTTGAGAACATGTTGCACTTGCTGCGAAGACTCTTCAGATTTCAGATGTCCAGAGGCACCTTGCTAGCGGCTCATGTGAACAACTATACTAAGTTGTTATCGGACTTGGCAAATGTTGATGAGAAGATATCGGATGAGTACAAGGCGATTATTTTATTGGGCTCCTTACCGGATGAGGAGTATGATACATTCGTGCTTACTTTGTTGAACGGGGGATCTTCTATCAGCTATAGTGAAGTGACTAACGCTTTGACCAATTATGATTTGAGGAGGAAGGACAAGGAGACTTCCCGTGCTAGCACTTCAGGCGAGGCTTTGTCGACGAGAGGTAGAAGCCCATATCCGAAAGGTGGTAATAGAGGAAGGTCAAAGTCAAGAAGCTGCCACCAATTAGCAAAGAACCAATGTGCATTCTACAAGGAGCAGGGACATTGGAAGAGAGACTGTCTGAAGATCAAAGAGAAGGAGAATAGCAAGAAAAAGGGCCCGAAGGCCAATGAGGTAAACGTTGCGAAAGGCGATGATTCCGATGATTCGTGCTTTTCTCTACTGATTACTCCGGAGGTGAACCATGTGGATGCATCAGATTGGATGCTTGATTCCGGCGCTACTTTTCATGTGACCCCTAGGCGAGACTGGTTTGCATCTTTTGAGAAAGTCGACGGGGGTGTTGTTGTCATGGGAAATGATCAATCCTGTGGCGTTTGTGGGATAGGTACCGTACGTATTAGGATGCACGATGGAGTAGTCCGTGAGTTGAAGGAGGTGAGATTTGTTCCTCAACTGAAGAAAATCTTATTTCAGTTGGAGCTTTGGAGGCGAAGGGATTCAAGGTGACTTTCGAAAACGCTGTAGCGAAGGTTACTAAGGGATCATTGGTGGTGATGAGGGGAGTCCGCAATCGGAATTTGTATTATCTGAAGGGAAGCACCGAGATTGGCCAGGTTGCTTCGGCTATTTCAGAAGCGGACATGAGCAGACTTTGGCACTATAGGTTGGGGCACACAGGTGAAAAGTCACTGCAGGCATTGTGCAAGCAGGGGCTATTGAAGGGAGCCAAGAGTGGGAAGATTGAGTTCTGTGAGCACTGTGTTCTTTGCAAGAAGACAAAGGTGAAGTTCGGGACTGCCATTCATCAGACGAGAGGCATCCTGGACTACATGCACACAGACGTTTGGGGTCCCACCAAGACTACATCACTTGGTGGTCGACATTGGTTCGTTACTTTTGTAGATGACTATTCTAGGCGATGTTGGGTGTACACCATGACGAAGAAGAGTGAAGTCCTAGATTTGTTTGTGGAGTGGAAGAAGAGATTGGAACTGTAGACTGGGAGAAAGATCAAGACGTTGCGATCTGACAACGGTGGTGAGTATACTTCTGACCCCTTTCAGCAGCTATGTCGAGACGAGGGCATAGAGAGACACTTCACAGTTAGTCATACACCGCAGCAAAATGGGGTGGCAGAGAGGTTGAATCGGTCTTTACTGGAGAAGATCCGATGCTTATTGTCGCAGAGTGGTTTGGAGAAGATCTTTTGGGCTGAGGCACTTACATATGCGAGCCACCTCATTAATAGGCTGCCTTTATCTGCGATTGAGGGGAAAACCCCTATGGAGATGTGGTCGGGAAAGCCAGCACATGACTATGACCAGCTCAAGGTATTTGGGTGCCCTGCATATTATCATGTTAGAACTGATAAATTGGAACCTCGAGCTAGGAAGGCCATATTTGTAGGATTCAAGCATGGTGTCAAGGGATACAAGCTTTGGGATCCGGTGGATAAGAAGATTGTGCTGAGTAGGGATGTCACATTCGATGAGGCTTCTATCTTGAAGCTTCCCAGCTTTCATTAGGTGGAGAGCGACCCGACGGAGGAGATATCGCAGGTGGTGGAGATCGATGCAGCTCCACATTGTCTAGATGGTACAGTATCCATGCAGGTGCCGACTGAGGTAACGCCAGGCGAGCACAACGGTGACACGGAGGATACGAGTACAAATGTACAGGATCAGGAACCGACGGCTCAGGTTCAGGATTCAATTGCGGCTCGGAGACAGAGGAGAAACATACAGATGCCAGCTCGGTATGCCGACACAGTTGCGTATGCACTTCCGGTGGAGAGTATCGATGAGTTCATTGAGGGCACTCCAGTGAGGTTCAAGGCTAGGTTGGTTGCGAATGGCTATGCACAGGAGGAAGGTATTGACTATAATGAGGTTTTCTCTCCGGTGGTGAAGCATTCGTCGATTCGGATTTTGCTAGCTTTGGTGGCACAGTATGGATTGGAGTTAGATCAGTTGGATGTGAAGACAGCATTTCTTCATGGTGATCTTGATGAAGAAATA